CATCTTCATTGGTGTTCTGTAGGAATGTCTTCCACATCTTCATCAGTGTTCTATAGGAATGTGTATTTCACATCTTCATCGGTGTTCTGTAGGAATGTCTTCCACATCTTCATCAGTGTTCTATAGGAAGGTGTGAATGTTCATCACGTTCTCATTGATGTGTCTGTCTAAAAGTTACCTCAGCTTGTCGAGTCCTTGTTAAAAAATGTAGGGTGATGTAAGATCCAATTTGTTTGGTTCGTCTGCAAGGCCAACAGCCCTCAGGTGACAAAACTTATGAAGGTTTTCTAACTTCGTTTTTTCAGTTAATGACCATGAACAGGTGAGTATAAAAATTGAGATGATTTTTCAGGAAATTCATTAAGGTGCTGTTGTTTGGACAGATTTCCTAGACTCGAGGCAGCCGTCTTAGTTTCGTCTCAAAGATGCTTCGTTTGGTAGGCCATGATTTGAATTGTTTCCTAAGTTAGTTAGAGTTATAAAAATTACATTAATCCTTGAGATAAGACATTACTTGTTACCTCTCTACTCGAATCGTATTTTTCTACCAGTTCAAATATAACCCATGAATAGGTTTAGTGTTGATTCTCTTAACTATATGATATTTTTTATATACGCTCCTAATGTTTTTAAAAGTAGTTCACGGTTAACAACATTTTAATAAATAATACAGCCTATTGAAGTAATTATTATACTTTTCGACCGAAACAATAAGTATTTCCTTGTGGTTTATATGTTCGTTAAAAATCACTGTAATTGTTTCTCAGGTAATCCTCGCTTGTGTCTCTGCTATGGCTTTGGCCCAAATCTTTCCCTACAATGTCCCTAAAGGACAGGAGGGTAACACGGCCTTTCTACAGGCCCTGCAGCAGCAGGCCTTACATTACATCAACCAACAGCAGCACCCCAACATCCAAGTCCAACAAGCTCGTGAGCTTGCTGTAGCTGCTCACAATCCTGCAACTTACAATGCTGTCCTTCATAACTACAACTACCACACTGCTCTTCAGCAACACCAGCTGGACCAGCAAAGAGTCCTCCAGGAACAACAGAGAGTCCTCCAGGAGCAGCAGGCCCTTCTAGCCAACCAATAAACACGCTGACCGAAACTGATGATATCTCTGTATAGGGGTTATTTTGTTAATTCTTAGACACTTAACAAACAAATACTACTACTATTTGGGAATCATATATCTTTCAAAACTAGTGTTCTTATGTGCTCGAAACCACACTTGTTGCAGTTATAATTTTATCGTTGTTTCGCGTATAACGTAATTCTGGTGGCTAAGTTTGGAAACTGCTACAACGTAGAAAGAGACGAGGCTATGAATATGTTTGGTTTAATCTCTTCATCTTTGTAAATGACTTGTGATACTTTGTAGAATAAAGATGGATATTAACTAACCAATGTCTAGATTCAACTGTATTAGACACTAGTTAAATCCGTCACTGTAGTTTATTAATTAATTAATTAATTACTAAATAAATAAGCAGTTTGTGAAAAACTCTGCCCGTTTTCAAGTTAAAATGGAATTTCGCCTTTCATCAGATAACAGCTATTGCCAAAACCAAACATTATATTCGCAAGAGATTCATTACAGGATAAATCAAGTAAAGTTCATCAGTTTACGGCTGTTTTCTGAAATGCTTCTTACCTGATTTAAACCTTGCCAGTGTTGTTGTGTGGATCTTCAAGATCACGTTTTGATCTAGTAGGAAAAGTTTGTCTAGCGGAAAAAAAAAAATTTAAAATGTGCAGTTTTGTTTCACGACCTCTTCGGAAACATTTC